GAAAAATGCGAAATACCAGTTGGTAGACGTATATTTCGTGTATGTTATTATATTGTATTCGACAAAGTATATAAGACATACAGGTACCTCTACCCGTATACAGTACAATCATTTTTAACATAATATTATTTCATATAATACCGCAATGTACCTCAAAGGTCAATGGTTAGTTTTCAGAGGCTTGCTCAAGGGGGGGGATGGTGTCATATCACCCTTCGGCTTATTTTTGTCATATTATACAATATTATATGATAAAGCAATGAAAGTATATTTACCTCTATATAACGTGGTCTGAGAATAGTCAAAGACGAATATAACCCACCTTTCAAAAAGTCGAACAAGCCACTGGTAAGTTTACTGTATTGTGAGCGGAGTCTCAAACTCGGTACATATAATCACCGTAATCACACTAATATATAGCATTATAAATAATTATTGTCTTTGTCCTCTGTATATATATTTTATTGGTACCTTGGATAATCTACGTAACCGAAACCCAGGCTATGCAGGCTATCGAGACGTTTAAGACTTACAGAACATTCAATATTTATGTAGCCACTCGATACGAAAGGACGTCGTCCGAACGAGCGAACGTGATACTGTTTGCCTTAATAATATAATGTACATTATATATTGACCATCTGACCATCTGGGTGAATTTAATAGTGGTCGTTCAATCTAAATAGATCATTCGAGAATATAAGTGATTTTGTGTTTTTGGCATTTTCTCGGTGCCATGGTGGCGACGGTTGGTAAAATATATTATTAGACGCACCGCAGTCCGCGAATTGATAATATTTCTATATTATCTTCCATTATAGTATATATTATATGCTACTTGAAACTCGGTCAAGCGGGGTGAGTATAGATTTACACGATTTATTTAGTTTCTAAGTAAGTATAAGTATATATAGTATTATATTATGCGATTCTCGGGATCTCAAACGACGTAGGGTACATAATATTTATAATATCGAACTCCTTTGAGATGGTTCACGACGAGATGGACCTATTCAATAGTTGCGTATTATGTGCGTATAATATATAGGTACGTATAAATTTCGTCTCGAGGACAAAATAATTCAATTATTCGGGGATGGGGTAAAATACATAATACAAAATAAGTCAAATTTGGATACCTACTGAAAATACAAAATACATTTAACTTCTGAGAAAAATACTAACTGCAAAATATTTGTATATTTAAAAAAATAATGAAAATTGAAAATACTTTGTATTTATACTTTTATATGTATCTTATGTATTATCAGTTACTGACATTATTTTATTCATTTTTCTGTCTCCAAATTACAACATTTACATTATTTATTTAAACTAATTTAATCGGAGTACTGTCCATCCCTACAACTATTTAATATTGTACCTAATGCATGTATATTCATAACTTGAGAACATTAATAAAAACTCAACAGTAACTGTGAACAAATTAAATCATGTTATTATAACAGCCAAAATATACTATTGTTTTATAAATAATTTTCTCATTTCATAGTTTATAAATTAAAAAATAATAGTATTATAATGTGTATTTTTTTTTCTTTTTTTGTTGAGGCTTCAACCACTGAGGTCATTAGCCTGTGGAACTGTGGGGGAGGGTACTGTAGGTTTTGAACATGTGTGTGTTTGTTTTGGCAAAATGTTTAAGTGGGCACTCGTAGGTATCTGCCATGCCCGGATGGGGGATGGCGGCCTCTCTCCAGACACCGTGACTTCCCGATGAAAAATGCCGCCCATGGCCGAGTTTGAACCACCACTCCGTCCCCCTATAATGTGCATTATATAGTTTACATTTGGATTTCAAATAAATATGAGATTAAAAAATAATATGGGAAAAATAATTTTGAGTCACCAATGATGAATTCAGTATATTCACCGATCTACTTAAAGGTTATATAAAAAAAATCATATATTAAAATATATTATAGATCCATCAAATTCGAAGTAGGTAAGTAAATGTCTTATAGCAAATTGTTTTTAGTTAATGTGTTGGATTTCAGCAATCATTTATTTTTTATCAATTCATAAAATATATCGTTGATCGAGATAACTGCGGATAACAATATTATTTTAATTATTTCATCTAATCTATATTGGTAGAACGATATTTTTTCTTTCTGTAATGTTTTTAAATGATAATATAATAATAGTGTTAATTGAAATTCTCCACACGCCAAAGGTGTTTTATGCGATTTCACGTACATGACAAAAAGCCACCTTCCCGGAAATCCATTAGCTCAGTTTAAGCCTTAAGGAATTAATTATACATCGTGAACAGTATAGTTTGTATAGTAGTATAATACGTTTGCATATAATATAATATGTATAATATACTCCCTGGTTGGAAAATTAGTGACGTAAATGATGTATAAGCCATTTGGATACAGTATTATATAATATATACATATAGACTTATAGAAGTGTTTGGATATTATGTGTGAGATATTGAGATATTATAGCTTCAGTTTTCCCTTAAACACAAAATGTCCATAATTTTAGCATCAATACAATGCATAAGTAGGTAATACTATCAACGACCGGGTATGTATTAAAAATAGGTAATCTTTGAATATTTTTATTATCTATGTAGACGGTGCTAGGTTATTGTATAGTATAAATATAATATCTTTGATATTTATAATATCTATAATATCTAAATATTTAATTGGCTAGGTAGAATTTGATTCCTGGGTATCTGTTTACCTGCACTGATACAGTTGAGTTGATTCCCTGGTCATTATATATTATTTTCAATATTTAGTCAAATATTCAGCTTATTAGCCTAACCCGAAAAACATCAAGAGGAGATTGGCAGATATGTTTCTCAAAAATGTTGTTCTTTTTAGTTTTTTCATATTTTGAAAATCATTCAATTTTTTGTTAACAAATTATGAGTAAAAAAATTTAGTAGGTATAAAATTATTATTAAAAAATTTTAGTAATTTGGTAAAAATGTATAACACATTGTTTTTAATAATTGGTATCTGGTAATGAGATAACCAGTATACCGTGACATGTAATGACCCGGGAATCGACTCGTACATACTTCTCGATGACCCGAGAATCAACTAATACATAAAGTAGGTCTCGGGAATCAACTCACCTACTGCGATTTAATTATCCAGTGCAGTGCCCTTATTTATATATTTTTTTGCAGAAACGTGTAGATTTACAGGTAACCCAGTTCAAATCATTATAATGATAAAAATTGTCTAATTCGGGATTTCTCAAATCCGTACTGCACACTTTCAATATTTAGGACTATACTTTGTAGTTTGTATAGGGATTTACTAAAACAAAAATAGTTGCTGCAGTGCGATACCTAGCTGATACATTGTGCTTACTTGGAAACCTGCTGAGTATAATATACCCAGCAGGTCAATGTGAAAAATGAATTATTACAATAATGTATTTAAATACTGGCGATGATGAGTATCAATCATAGATTTTTAAACTTCTCAAAACAATGTATAACTCGAAGAGCTTAACGTTGAAATAGTTAAAAAAATTATAAGCATATAAATGTATCTCCGTTAATACATCCAAGCATCCCATACTGAGGTCGTTATTGCAAACTGTAGTGATTAAGTATACCCAGTAAAAGTGCCTATGGTAAAATGTTAAAAATATTGTATTACCTTCAATAATCTCAGTTGTAATAATAATGGGGAGTATAAATAAAATACTAAATTACAGCGTGAAAAGCGCTCTCTGTTCGATTGTACACACGAATCACCAGTGATGGAAATACTTCACGAGACATCGTACAGATAGTGCACCACCACACTCAACACCACAGACTCTATGAGAGCAAAATATAAGATATTTCATTATAAGGAACAAAAAAAATTGATGAATTACAAAATAAAACTAATTGTGTAATTGAGTTTATAATGCATCGTTTTTTTTTTGTTTAGTACCTATTGTTTAACTATTCTTGCGTTTTATGGGTTTTTTTTTTTGAAAGTAAAGTATAACATAAGCCAATGAGCTAATATTAAAATAATTAATTTACATAATTTATCAATAAATAGTTGTTTTTAATAAAAAAAAAAAAAAACATTGTATAATACTAATATAGTAGTATGTTATTAAGAACGCAGATAGTTAGTAAGTTAATAAATAAGAGTTATTTTAAGAAAATTGTTGTACCCCTTCGATAAAACATTTAATTTGTTTACTTTTAACTGTTGAAGCTTTTTGCGTTTATTATTGTTTAGTAATAATTGCATTTCGATATTCTCTTTGCGTTTTTCAAACTGTTCAGTTTTATTCTGTAATTCATCATTTCGTACCACGTCTAGGAATATCTTATTTTCTCTCATATAGAGAGTCTGGAAAAATAAAATAAAATAATAATTGTCATATTTCTTGTATTAGACAAATGTAACAAAATTATATAGTCGACACACAATTGTACACAACATTATAATACCGACACATTCTCAAAGCCAAGTTTAAATATTCCGCAGTACATACCTATAACTTACAAGTCGGAAGTCAATTGAATAATATTACTGTACGACATTCCTACGACCGCGTGCTAGTAAAATAGTATTGGATACAATACATAACTACTCACAGTAAAGTTGGAAAATAATCCTATCCTGGTCGTGCGAGAAGTGTTCCTAATACACCTAATACATATTATAACACATTATATACCATATTATATCGAGACGTCGGATGTGGTAGGTATATTATCATCACAGCCAGACTTCCGTTTATGAAACGTTATGCGGTTCCAAGGAATATGCATAATAATATTTGTAATACAAAATAATTAATTACACGCCGTTGTAATGCCCCCTTATTATAATATCATATATTTTTTTAACGTTCGGAGGATCGTAATTATTGTTGTTATTATTTCTTCCTCAGATAACGGATTAATCATTCGGCTGTGGCGGCGGCGGCTGGGGAAGGTCGCAGTAGGGATTTTCAAAAGTTACGCGCCAGCGGTCGTCCTCTGGAAATCGATAATGCCGGTCGGAGGAAGAGTGGCCGGCAAAGGTGTCGGCGTACACAATTCGGGTGGATCTAGCGACGGTAAATATATACTGATAATAATATGCCCGGTGAATGTATAAGGCATGTCGTCGTATTAAATTATTGAATTATCGTTCGGCAAAGATCATTACATTAGTATTACCTATTGAGCTATAGAATCTGTGCCGTAAATGGAGCCACTTGTTGCTTTTTTTTTTTTTTAATTTTTACAGTCATGTGTTTGTGATGTTTTTACGAGACAGCACAAATAATACACCTTGTTCCTCAGTTCGATTCAACAGTTGTAGAAACACAATGTTAATTAGGTACTACAATATTATTATTTTATTACCAATATTACGAGGCCTATATTAAATATTTTTGTCGATTTTATGAAATAATTGGTTACTAATTTAAGATTCCGTTTAAGTGTGAACAAAATATTACAAAAATTATCATATTTATAAATTTATAATGCGATTTATATTGTATTATATGACGTATAAGTATATCGTATTAGAACTATAATTCCTCACTTAATTCAACCAAGCACCAATAGCATGCTCCCCCAGTTTCTAAGTAATTAAATTATTCAAATAATATTTTTTGTAATTTTTAATCACACTTAAAATTTAAAAACCATATTTTCAATCAATTAGATTTGTTATACTGTTTATTTTACTTTTCATCCTGTGAATTGTGGCAATAGGTATAGGATTTATTTTTTCAAATAGGAATCAATCTATTTTACTGAAAATCGTTGAGGAAATGATTTTTTTTTAAATGTTTGAGTTACTAAAATAAGTCATATTATACTACTAAAGATAAGACCCCCTAAATGATTTTACAAAATTATAATATAGATGTAGTATTGGATCTGGAGTATTTATCATAATCAGAATTATGAAATGTCAATAAATTAATATGAGTTACTATAATTTTAAAATAATCAAAGCCCAGTAGATTATAGGCATAGCCATCTACATTAGACCTAAATATGATTATATTGGATCTTTAGTACACAAAGCTAAATAACTCAAAATCTACTCCTTCGAATTTCAATCAAGATAGATACCTCAACATTTAAAAAAATCATGGACTTAAAAATTTACGGAGAAACTTATTTGAAAAATACTTTTGTATCACCCCAGGACACGAGTTAAACGACGTAACGAATTTAAGTAAATTAATAAAAATGGTAGTGAGAATATATGATGAATCATCCTGTATGTGAGATATGATAATGTTTGTATTTTTTTTTTTGTGTTGAGGGTGTAAATAATATTATACGTGTGTGTATTTAAATGTTCTCATTTATGATTTATTATTTAAGATTTTATAACGAACAGTTAGTCAAATTAACTTTATTATTCATTTAAAATACAATCGATATAGTTACTGACCTGAGTCATCAATATTTTGAGCTTACTGCAAATGTATACTAAATCATATATTATAGCATGATCATTTTTATACAGAAAGTCAATTATAACTACTTTGTATTTATATATTATGAGTTTACCTTAAAACTATGGTAGTTTAACATAATCTGATGTATAATTTTATTTTATTATTATATTTGTTTCGATAGGTAACATTCATGTGATTGTGCTTATATTTTATTGGTTTTACGTTGGGGGATATTATCGGTAAATCGGTAAATCGTGTTTCATGGTTTGGTAGGTAGATAGGATTGATTTAATTTGGGTTGATTAATTCATCATGACGGTTTTAATTCCTTTCTGAAAAAAATATGTTGCATTGTAATATGTTATTAAAATATAATGCTTGAAGTTTGTTTAGGGTTTTTTTTTAATGTATATAATATTATGTAATACATGTACAGAGTGTGTCACGGCAATATGGACAAAAATAAACGGGTTTTTCTCAACGTTGAATGTGAGTAGGAAGGTCTAGATAAGCTCATTCGATCCGGCAGATAATGCCATTTTGTTGTCACTATGGCCCGGTGGAGTGTAGTTCACCGTGTGTTTGCGTAGGACGCGTTTGTGAAAAACAATGAATCGGTAGTTAAGATGCAGCGAGCATTCAGACGGTAAGACTCCGTATTCTGGGGAGTTATTACAGTACGTTTGGGACCATTTGGTTTTTTTTTTTATTACCTGTCCCCATTAGAAAACTATCTAGCCACCTCATAATTGTTTTCCCATTGAGAGCAGCACCTCGACTATCAGCAGACTTTCAGCGAGTCTGAATGCTTGCTGCACCTTTTCTACCGATTCATTGTTTTTCACAAACGCGTCCTACGCAAACACACGGTGAACTACACTCCACCGGGCCATAGTGATAACGAAATGGCATTATCTGACTGATCGAATGAGCTTATCTAGACCTTCCTACTCGCATTCAACGTTGAGAAAAACCCGTCTATTTTTGTCCATATTCCCGTGGCCCACCCTGTATACTGTAATATTGTAGTTGTTTATTGTTGTTAGTTAGTACTCCGTCTAGTTGCGATCAAAAGTTTGTGAAAGACCCGATGAAAAACGTACCAACGTGTACTGTTGACGTCTTACGAAACCCACGACATACTTGGTTAATATAAACTTGTATAGAGATATTGAAATATTTGATTCAACCCAAACTATTAATAATGGATTTCTTTGATGGATGTAAAATAGCTCATAATCCTGTATGGATTATTTTTTCGGATAGAAAGAAGATGTAAAAAAACTGAAGGGTTTTAATTTTTAGTATAAATTGACCCATAATTTTCAGGTATTTGAATGTAATAATACTATTATGTTCATACAATCGCAGTGGCTATAGGTGACCAATATTCTGTAGAGTCAATGTAAAAATAATAGCCATAAATGTAACTTACGAATGGTTAATTGATTGTTTTTATATGTTATATTGTAATTTGTAACCAAATGGTTACTACTTTTATTCGTCAGTTTTTTTTTATATAATAATATTTTTATACCAGCTTAAAATGTCTCATTCCATGATCTGGATACTCACCTATAAACCTAACTATAGATATTATTTTTTCTTTTTAATTTAAGATATATTTTTATTTTTCAGACAAATTAAATGGTTTATGAAATGTTAAAACCCTACTCTTTATACTACGTCAGTTTTAAGAATCTATAAATATTAATATCTTTAATTTTTGAGTCATCATGATATCTTCTAAACTTATTATTGAGGACCATAACCATCCTTAAAGTACGTGGTAGGGATTTTATGTTTAATATCTCAAAAACTATACTTATACCTAAGCCCTAGGTAAATAAACCAAAATTCATAACAAGAAAAAATCATCTCCTCAACAATTTAAGATAAAAAGGGTTTATTTTCATTTTGAAAAAAATGAAGTTTGTATCGCCACAGAAATACATGGTTATCTTCTTTAAATAGTTGAATTATATAAAATTTTATCGTTCGTTTTCGTCATTAAATCATTTAAACAAGTGAACTGTATACTTTTTATTACTTTCTGTTATAAAATTTAACCAATTTTTACTATACTCAAGACTAGTATAAAACGAGTTTATCAAATATTAGTAATATTAACGGGATTATAAACAGTCCGGGCATGTCAACAACAGAAATCCCAAAGTATAATAATAATAAATTTTAATTGTAGGTATATTATCGGATAGCTGGTATGGGATTAGCTGCGAAATCTGATTAAATCCTAATTTTCTATTCCCAAACAACGGTGGGGGACACATCCTTGCGATGTCTGTACGTCGTACTAGGTCAATAAACCCAGATGATTTATTAAGATATAATATTATTATGTTCGACGGGTTTTTCGCAGGGCACGCGTCCGGTGGTTTCAACGAGGAGGTCATATGGATCAGCATCGGCATGAGTATCGCCATCGTCATACTGATAACGATAGCTCTGTGCTATTTGGCTCGGCAGCGGTGCAAGAAGAGACAGGAGATAAGCGTACGCACTTAACACGGACATTATGCAAACACATACACATACCTAAGCATATACCTACTACGACCACCTAAATACGAGTTCGTCGCTCGGCGGACTGCGTACACAGAGTTTATGTTATTTGGACGACCCCACTCGTCATAACTAAATTATTATTATTATTAGTATATTATTGTAGTCATTATTATAGTAATATTATATTATCTATATTATTACTATTTTTTTTTTTTTTACTATCGTTGTTTGTACTATTGAATGTTCTGAAGATCAGCTGTATTCTTTGTCGTCCCTTACTTTCGGTGATCACGTGACAGGTGTCTGAACATCCCCCCCTTCCCCATGCCAGGCATTTTATGTCGTAAATTGGTCAAGCGGCATACTATTAACCCTACTGTAATTCCCCCCCTCACAAACGATTCCATCACATAGTCACAACGTTATTAGAATAAATCACGTCACGCGTATAGTTACTATTGGCGACTGATAAACCCCAAGAGAACCGCCTTTAACTCAAGACGTACAAGTTTCAAAGTGTCACATCCTCCACGAGTAAACGAAGATCCTTTCGACGTCAAGTCATTATGCGTTTGGTGCGTAGGTATAATATTATAAAGGTGACATTATACATTTTGCAAAACACTCAAATATAATAATATAATGGTCGTCGTTGTCACGTCTTTATAGGTAGCACTCGATATTTATTTTACATAGAACATATTCTATTGTATTATAATATTATTCACGCGAAAACGTCACACGAATCCTAAGACATGGATTTAATATTTTATTATAATGACGGTTAGAGTGATTTTACGTGTACCCCCCCCCCCCATAATTTCAGTAGTAATTAATGAAATATATTGATAGTATAATATGTAATATTTGCTTATATTTCAATAGTGTTGTAAACTGCACACTGCGACGAGTGATAATAATTATTATAATAATTTTATAGCATGGCACGCGTTTCTTTTTTGATTATAATAATAATATGTATGCAGAAGACAAAAAAATCATAAATTTCAGGACCTAACCGCGATACGGTCGTCGTTCCGTGAAAGTTTTGACGAGTACAATAAACAGCGTAATAATAAAATATTTTACTATAATAAATTGTCACCATCACCGCTGTGATGATTGATTTCATTTTTATTTATAATAATTCACATTATTCAATTAACGATTATTATATTTTACTTATTGAAATCCTGAAACCCCCGTGGCGTTACTCCACGTGATTGTGTTTAATATATTTATATCATAATTCTATAATTTAATATAATAATCGCGCATCACCAAAAACGATTTATAAATGTATTACAATGGTATGTTAATAGCAATACTGCAATAGTTAAACGAAAAAAAAAAATAAAATATTTTAAAAATTCGTGTCATTCGATGAGGTAGAAATATAAGCGAAAGACGTTACATTATCTCCATGTAATCAAATTTAAAATCATAATGATATTATATTATATAGGTACTGACAATTTTAATTGCCTGTATCTATGTTACGCATTGTATCCAAGTGGTATAACATGCATATTTCGTATAAATCGCAGAATATAACCTTATATTTTAAAAGTTTCTTCAACGTTTCTGTCAGTAGGTAATTCCAAAATCTGTTTAAAGAATTTAAAAATAAAAATAATACTTAAAAAAATTAGAGTTTAATTTATAAAATACAATGTACTAGAGAATTATGATGAGAGTGGAAAACGCATCCAAGCATAACTTATTAATAATATATTGTAGGTGGGCTATAGTTTGTATACTTTAAACAGCAACATGTGTAAGTGTAATGTGTTTATGATTTATATAACTCTATTAATATAACATACTAAGACCAATTAATATTAAAGTCATATTTTTAAAATTATTTAATTGTGTAATCTGCGAAACAATATACATAATATTATATATAAATATATTAGTGTATGTAATAGACATAAGACATATACTATTATAGTATCAACATGTTGTAGTGGTTTACAATGGAAATTATAATATTGTCTTCTACGCCTAATAAGTAATAACATTTGATTGTAATAAATTATATTGTAATGAACCTGTAGCTGTCTGTTCGTTATTTATTCATAATACAGTAGTCAAATAAACGAGCGAAATTCCCAATCAGTTTTCCCTAATGTCATCCAATAAACAAAAAAATTACGTGACCAAACACGAAATATACGATCCATTGTATTATAATAACACAACGGTATATAATATTTTTCACACTCGAGTTATATGAGCTTGATTTAACATGATATTGTCACAATATGAACTCGGATAAGATGTAAATAATATTACGCCTGGAAAAACAATATTAAAACGTCAGAAGCAAAGACAAAAACCTGAGAAATTTTCATAAGTTACAATGTTTAGTATGCAAAAAACAATGATGAAAAATATTATATAATTACGCATACTATATTATAATATAATAGCCATATAGGACATAGGTAATCAACTAATAATATGTTTAATCTCACATTAGCATTCCTAAATATGGACAATTGCAGACGGTCAGAAATCAGAAAAAGTTTATTTGTTCGATTTAGTTAAAGACATTTCGTGTGTGCTCCGGTTGTGTCATCTGTTGGGTAGGCATAGTATACGTAGTCATCAAAATTTAAAATTCTTATTATACTACTATAATATTTCAATTCCGATTATTCTCAAAGGAGGCATTGCAATTCGTGCTTTGAAAAATTCAAACCTAATATAATATATATATATAATAAAAGAACATCATGTATATAGGTACATATATATATATATATTTTATAGAGAAAAAAGCTTTATCAAACTTTGACTTGATTTCAAACTTTAATTTATTGTAAGTACTAGCTCCATCGAAAAATAATAAGATAAAATTATATAAAAATATTATTCGATCGAGTTAAAATATTGTATTGATTTTAATAAGAATAAATTAGAATCGTTAGGTCCCATGTACGTTATGCATAATATTTAAAATTGGAACTTTCACTTATAATATATTTTTTTTATATATTTATTGGTTTAAGCTTCAGCCTCTAAAGCATCTTTTTATGGTGAATTACGGACTTTACGGTTGTTTTTGTCGAGGAACACGTGTGTCTTTATAAGATAAAGGTTCGTCAGCAAGAACCCGTTCACCCATCCGGAGGAGCCAGCTTTGCGGGACGGTGCTTGTCCTAACTTCTGTCAACCATATTATTCGGTATTTCTGGTACATTATTCATAATATTATAAAAATATATATTATATTATTTAAAAATATTTATTATTTTGTTTTTGGACCTATAATTGTTGTAATAACGGTGGCGAGTGATCATGATGTATACCTATCATTCATTCACATATTATATAATTATTCGATAAGTCGATAAAATAATGTAAATAAATAAATAGATATATAGCTGCGGTGTTGTAGAAAGATCTCATGTTGTGTAAGATAAATCATTTCGAAAATAAAAAATTACTATACGGGTGATTCACTAAGCGTACAACAGTAATTATCTCAAAAAGTATTAATGTTTTTGAAAATATTTTTTTACATAGTTTCGAGTTGTTAGATAAACAACGTTTTTATTATATAAGTACTGCAGCATATATGCTGACAGAAAATCAATGGAGATAAAAAAAATGTTATAATATATATATAGTATTATAGTATTATATAACTATTATTAATTTCAATTATTATTATTATTATATTATTATGACGTATAAACAATTAACACTATGTCGTTTATAAAATTGATATTATTATTGTGTTGGCTAGTATTATTTATTGTTGACGGCGATTGTGCCTATAGTCTATACACTGTTTAATCGAATATAATTAGTTTATTTATATAATATTGTAATATTTCTACAGTAAATTGTTTTAATGAATGTATCCAATAAGCGTTTAACTTTTTTTAAGTTTGATATTTATATACAGTGTTTAAAGTAAAGTAAAGCAAAGAAATATTATCAATTAATTGAATTATTTTTCCTCGACTTAAGATAGCTGCCAACACAGTACTTAGCGTGCTAAGTTCCACTCGTGAAGTGATATTCCGTCAACCAATTAAGACGTGGCTGCAGGTCGTGGTTTAGATTGTACTAATTAAAATTAATTATACAATTATAGGTGCACTTAGGATAGATTTTATAATCCAGATTTATTCAAAAACAGCTTTTAGTTAAATAATTATGAGCTCGTGTGGGTTACTGTAACTACCCATATGGGCTCGTTATATTATGTTTAAAATGTATACGAGAATAATTTATTAATTCCTTTCAAAATTCAAATCCTAAGACCACCACCTATGGTTATCCGGTAAATATTAGAACTCATATACTTCTTTTTGTAGAGTCGGGTTTTATAATAAGCCAATAATAATAGTGCTAATATAATATATACATTTTTTTATAAAAACACAACGATAATAAAAAAAAGGAAAACAAATTCATGATGCAAAGAAAACACAACTTTATAATGGAAAAAATAAATGAAAACATTTGGTAACGAATTCGGTAAATCTAATAAATAAAAATTGCATACCTATTTGGTAACGTCCTAGATGTTGTATATTTAATGTAATTTTGCTATAATAATAAGTTATTAGGCAGACAAACTCTACAAAATGTAAAATATTTTAGACATTATAATATCAGGTCTATATAAAATGTAGATGGTACTTTAAGTATTTGATTAAGATTTTAACTCATTAGGGTTACCTAATTATTTATAACTTATATTTATAAATATTTTAACCTTGTTTTAAACTTTTAGTTCTTAGCTATAAAAATTGAACATTATTTACATTTTTAAATACAAAATAATTTGATAATGTTCGCGATTATGGCGGATGTCGTAAAAAATTTGAATTTAAATTGCTTATAAAAAAATGTTTGCCTTTAATCTTTTATCTTTATATGTTCATTACTTTTGAACTTCTTATGAAATGACTTATGACCTATTTGTAAATTTTCAAGTTTTTTGTTTCAGCAAAAAAAAATTATTTAACGACAATAAG